AAGGGAGTTGGAAAAAAACAAAACAAAACACACGTGTTGTTTTGCAAAGAAGCCACGTTACGTGTTCAGGAGGAATGACTCCTGATATATCAGGAGCCAAGCATTGTCCTGGAAGGAAATGAAGTTGGAATCAAGAGCGGAACCACACTAAGGGCTACAGTGGGCTGTAGCCCAGTGTGGTTTTTTAAGAAAAAAATATAAAACCTATATATTTAACTTATTTTCAATATTAGCCTAGTCAGTGGCAGTGTACAGATTACCTTATTTTCATTTTCAACATTTAAGTAAATGTTTTTGCCATTTTACTTTTATTTATTTTTATATTACTCCATTTACTTAAGTTTACAATGTAAATAAGGAAGTAACCCCCATTTGATTTGTAGCCTGCAACTTCTAACTTGTTCTCAAGTTTTTTTTTTATTACTTTAATACTAGCAATATTGGAGGATGAGGAAATTAAACTTAAGACTTTGGGCGAATGGGTAAATATTTTTAACCACTTGAGTTACAAGTCCCTTGCATTATTAAGTTAAATTTCAAAATAGCTTAATAAATGTTGATTTGGAAGAATTTCTGTAGGAAATTCTAGAAATCTTTTTATTTATTTATTTATAAATACAAGCAATTGGGGGATGGGTTTACACAAATATTCATTGGGTGTCTAGGGGTTTCGAATCTATGTCCGCATTTGTAAAGGTTGAAGAGTTCAACCAACTAAGCTATACTCCATTGGCCTAAAAATGCTTCTATTAGAATGGTGTCAAAACCGTTATTAAAAATCAAAGCGTTTGAAGCACTTTGGAGTGTTTATGATGTAATAAATTTTAAGCTTTTTTAGCGTTTTAACCTCTAGAGAAGCAGTGCATCGAAGGTTTGTATTATTGAGGTTTTGAATGTTGTTGTTCGTGGCTGGGTAGGTAGGCGCGCAAGCTGCGGGGACCATGGCTCTACCTATCACTATTAAGTTGCAGTTATGGCAATTTGCCAAATAATTGGCTGGGGGTTGGGCCCAAAATATTGAGCTAATAATTCATTGGTTTTTATTATTCACTATTTTTTTTTTTTTCAATCTTGGTTAATTCATGCCCCAAAGTTATGGGGAGGAAAAAAAACAAAGATTACAAGAGCCGAAAATGCCAATACATAGGAACAAAGAACAACAAGCATATGTGAGTTCAAACTAAAAACCATTACAGTCTAGCAAAATGAATCTTCCCTGTCACAAAGTCAAAACAAAAGCAAACAAAGCCACCGCCACAGAGAACAGGGACTGCACCAACATAGCCAAAAAAGAGGAGATACACTTTCCTTGCAAAATCAGCACAGCTGCACAAAGAGACCCACTAATTTGCCGCCAAGGAACAAATTTCCCCAAAGCACAAAAGTACATCCAGACAAGAACATCCATCCAAGACTCACAATCTTCGTGGAGGCCGAATCCACCTCTGTACCATAGAGAAAACAACAACCATTCAAACCATGGTATATCCCTAAAGACCAAAATCAAGAGAGTGGAAGGTGGTGGTGCAAACACCAGAGCACAAGGGCAGAACCACACCAAGGGCTACAGTGGGCTGTAGCCCAGTGTGGTTTTTTAAGAAAAAAATATAAAACCTATATATTTAACTTATTTTCAATATTAGCCTAGTCAGTGGCAGTGTACAGATTACCTTATTTTCATTTTCAACATTTAAGTAAATGTTTTTGCCATTTTACTTTTATTTATTTTTATATTACTCCATTTACTTAAGTTTACAATGTAAATAAGGAAGTAACCCCCATTTGGATTCAAATAAAAATACTAGAAAATCAAATTCCAACCAAATCAAATTATGAAAAATCGATTTTAGTGCAAAATACGATTTAGGCTAAAAATGATGGCTCATTAAGTCAATATATACTTCAATCAAGTTTTCTTATTTTCTGATTAGTAATGAGTCATTTGGTACAATACATAAATAAGTTGAATTAAAATTAATTAGTTTTTGACACTAAGTGCCCGTTTGGTATTGCGTATTTGGAGTAATAAGTGATTTTAAAAAAAATTTGGAAAGCCCAACCCGTTTGGTAAACTATGAGAAAATCACTTAGTGCTAGTTTGGCATTGCTTATTTGGGGTAATAAGTGATTTTTAAAAAAATTTTAGAAGCTCAGCCCGTTTGGTAAATTATGAGAAAATCACTTATTATTAAAAATTGATGTGAGAGAAAGCTATAAGGGAAAATTGGAAAGCCCAACCCGTTTGGTAAACTATGAGAAAATCACTTAGTGCTAGTTTGGCATTGCTTATTTGGGGTAATAAGTGATTTTTTTAAAAAATTTAGA